ATCTGGGGCCGTATGCCGTTATATATCCACTCTATCTCAGCATGTATTCATTCACACACCATAGATATTTGTCTTCCCCACGCACCCCATACACCATGCCCCACGCACATTTCGGTTGCAGTGTCTGCGTCTCGCCCATTCGCTATGCTCTCTCGTCTTCACCACTGCGCTACTTTCTCAGAAAATGTAAAGATAGAATAGTGTATTTTCAGTGTAATTTTTTGCCTTTCTTCTTGGCGGCCACGCATCCATTCAGGACCTCGAGGCCCTTTTCTGCCATCGCGAAGTGTATCCTTAAAGCTTAAAATTTTGCTTTTTTTCGATGATGCGCAATCGCAAGGAAACATTTAATCGTGCGAAGTGCCAGTCATTGATCTATTCAACTCAAGTGTTACCCATTTTATGTGCTTCTCTCCTCAGCTGAGTGCTGACGTTTACCAGATGTCATGGGACTGCTGACATCTCATTCACCCCAAATGCCAGCTGTCAAAACCCAAAGTGAACCTATGTCATTGCTACTTTCCGGGCAACTTCACCTATTTAAATCTTATTTTGGGACACTTTAACTTGTTTAATCTGTCTTCGAGAGCATAGGAATCATTCCTAGTGCTCTTAGTACCGTAGGAAAAAGAATGAGGTAGTATGCTCAGCTTGTCAGTTCTCGATGGCATTTCATCAGCGGCGTGCTTTTTTTAAAGGTCTGCGCCTTCTCACGGAGATACTGTACTCGCATGCTCTATTTGTTCACACTCATCAGGCACCGGGATTGAATTGGTAGGCTAATGCGCTCGAAAGTGAACACAGTTCTAAAAATTGGTCCAGCAAAAGCGAAAGAAAAACTCACATTATCACATAGCGCGCTTATGATATGGGCGGGGCTTGCGTCCTCCTCTGCGCAAGGCTTATTTATCAACGGTCCCTCTATTGTGGTGACATAAAGTGAGAGAGATGGGCTAACCAGTGAGATTACGGTGGGGGGGGGAGGCACAAACTCCTCCCATGCCCCAATCGCGCTATGTGAGTCGCGCTATTTTGGGGACTCCTAATCTTTTTTGCTTCCTTTTTTATAACGAATCGAATACCTTCTTCTTCTTCTTTTCCCTGGTGTTGGTCCTGCCCTGTTAAATCAAATACCATAATCAATTCTCATTTTCAAGCGCATTAAACCTGACCCTTAAAAAATTGACCCTGTTGACTGCCCCTCCCACTAATATCTGAGAACGCATGCTGCCCTTCCCTCAGGGTAAGGGAGCAAAAAATCCCTGTCATTTATTTGTGTTCAACGACAACACGTTTATGTACATTAGAAGCAGGACTTTTCTCAGGGCGATCGTGATTGGAAAGCCAAAGAAATTTGGAGGGAATTCATCCCCCTTCTCTTGGAGGGATGAGGAGGGAAGGGGTGAAGCTAGCATATGGCCCTGAAGTTGCTCCAAGTCTTATCACTGGAAATTAGTCCAGAAACAGATTCATAGTAGGCCTATAATGACTTCAGGTTTGCTAGGAAGGGAATCGATCTTAGAGACCATGCATGCGAGATGCGCCATCTTCAACCACTGCGCCAACTCCTCCCTTTTCTGAGAAAAACTTTTTATGTTGTAGTCTTCAGATATCTCAGGTGTCTGCCGAACTTATTCTGAAAACCGTAGCGATGTGCTATACGTTGTGGACTTGTTGTAAGCTAAAAAGCCTAGAGCCAAAATTGTAGTGACAGACAGAGACGCGAGCTGTTGCGCGGCGTTCAAGCAAAAAGCTATGTGGCCACCGTCTGCGTCAGGATGGCTGCGATCAAACAGCGAGGCGACCTCTGATTCAGTCAAAGGTTGGCATTGAAAGAAAATCAGTGTGAAATTCAACAAAACTCTTCCAAATCAATATTTTTATATGTATCTTATGCTTATTGAACGATTCATCTCAATAACCAATTCAGGGTACTACTCATATCGCTTCACACCGCGAAAGATCTACGGTTAGCTTGATGCAGCCTCCTTATGTCTATTGAATGCTAGCTAGTAGTTATTTGGTTAGAATAGAACCTAGAAGGCTATCGACCAGGCCTTGTCGCTCTTAGTTCGCTGCTCTGTACCTGTGTTGTGGCTCAGGCTAAATCTTCCCCTCGTGTTTGCTAACTCTAGCTAGTCCATAGACAATCCCAGAAAGCCTGTGAATCACACTTGGTTGCCTATACAAGTGATAATCATCAGTTAGATAGGTTGCACTGCCACATGATCTTCAGAATGTGCTTACAACGCCTTTTTTCAGCGGACAACTCGTCCACATCGAAGCCTATGGAGAACGCGGCTGCCAGCGGATATCTGAACAAGTCAAATGAATATCGTAAGAACTCTTTGTTCATTTATACCAATATTCCTAGTTTGAAAAGGTTCACTGTTGAATCAATTACCCACAAATAGGAGCGGACAACTGTTCCTGTTACATGTACTTAGGAACAGTTTGCAGTCACACATACAACTTTTCCTATAGAGGCAATGAACACGATGGCTAGAAGGCGGAGCGGTTTTGACCCGTCATTGACCGTGACTCAGGGTCAATCGTTACGTTGGACCGACATTGGACCGACGTTGGACCGACATTG